ATCTCGTTTTTCCCCACGCTGGGGACATACGCTACATGGATTCCCTTTTCCTTTCCCACAGAGCCCTGCTTTCCCCCAGGAACTCTGTAACAGGATCCATTCAGTTTAAAGCAGAAAGGTTCAGCAAGTATTTGAGCAGAGGAATTAATGTCCTAGAGCAAAGTCAACCCTTGCCTAGATCAAGGCTTGGTGAACAGAATCAAAAGGAAACTCGTGGTGGCGTCACACAGGAAGATGGAGCTGGTTTAAGACACAATAAATGTGCTTTCTCACCATGTGTTGCCTAGGAAGGCTGGTAAGACTGAGCAGGGACCGGGATATCAAAGCTCCCACTTAAGCACACAAACAAGGATTCCCAGCAGGTCCCACTGGTTGCAGGAATTGCTTAGTGTAATCCAGACAATAAATAGCAAAGATACCCGGAAAACACCAGCTGGAAAAAACAACTTTGGGATAAGTAGCTCCCAATTTCATCTTCAGATAAAACAACAGCAGAGAGGCAAAAGAACTGGAAAAGCAGAATGCAAGTTCTAAACTGTTTTATATGAGATACCTGCCTACATTAAAACAACCCCCAAACAACAAAACCCCACAATCAACAACCCCAATAATCATTTCAAGGAAGCAAATCATTATTATGAGTGGTCTTTAATTCTTCCCCAGACAGAGCAATAGTAGTCAATGTTCAAACAAGTTGAGAAAACGAAGGCGATGTCCACTTTCAGAACGTGTGGCACTTGTAAATACACACGGAGCAGTGCAATCCCCTTTAACACAACTCCCCTCACAAGAGTGGGAATTCAAGCAGCTCGTCTCTGAGAATAGTGGATTTAAGGCAACTTTCCACCTCCAAAACTACTTTTATACAAGACCTTCTTCTAGTATGGCGATTGAAGCAGGTAAAAGAGAAAGCACAGTCCGACTGCAGATAGGCGCTAGTAAAAACCTTGGTGTAGAGCAGAAATTAACTGGTCCTCATTGGGATTTCCATGAGAAATCACTCAGATACTTTCCAATTTAAGTGGGGTTTTTTATGAGCTCTGGAGTAATTCCTGGTAGAAATGAACACAGGGCATAGACACTGAATAATCTGCCCTGCTTTGCTAAAATAAACCAAACTCTGGCAGCTCGCTCTTGGAAGAGGCAACGCAATTCTTTCTAATCCAGCCAGCTCAAGTCATTTGGATAGTTCCGAAAGGACGTCCATGACCAATAGTGTTAATCATTAATAGACAACATCACACACTGTGCTATTGCTGGGGATGGAGCACAACTTCCCACACCACCCCCCAGCTTTTCCCTTGCAAGCAATTGGAGTTATTTTGATACTATGGAGCATTTCTAGTTCGACCTCGGAACATCGTACCGTGACAAGTGCTTCTTTCTCATGCCCAGAACTACAAATATGGCAATTGCATTTGGAATGTATTGCTAAGCCAGGATTTAAAGCCAGGAAACAAAGCAGAATGGGTAGAGACTCACTTACCAATGTTGGTACAGGTAAAATTGAAAAGACATCTGTTTTCTCTGCATATTGTCTTATATAAAAGGCTTATACATATATATACATTGTCTGTATATTATCTTCTATAAGAGTCATATACTGTCTTACATAAAGACAATTTGAGGAATGATTTCTATAGGACTCTGCTCAGTCGAAAGCACCCTTCAGAAACCACTGTAACAAACCAAGCAGGGGATAAACACTGCAGTCATTTACCTGCACAGATTAATAGGGTATCGCATCATCTGAGAAACCAATGAAAACATAAACATCACGAAACCAAACAAACGATGGTTTCACTGAGCCATCCCATTCAGAAAGTCAGGGAGTTATTAAACATCATCTGAAGAGATTTCTGGTTTCATAGATGGATTTTTTCAGTCACACTGGCTCTGCATTTCGTTACAGGCTCGGCCCGAGTTCCTTGTTTATTTGTCTTGAGAAATGCCACAACAGATCCTTAATACACCAAATTTTAAGCTAATGAGGGATCCTTTTTATATGGAATTGCATTTGAACTTCCAGAACAAACACACTCTGTTTTGGTTGGGGAAAGCTTTATGCTGTTTGCAATGGCAATCCCTGCAGTGAGACAGGCAAGCTTTACATTAGACCTCCAAATGCTCCCGAGCGCTACAACATCAGCCTTAGCCCTCACGATGCCCAGGGAAAGTCCCAAATGCTCCTTGCAGCCCCTCTCCCCTCTACTTGACAAATCTGCTTTGCCCCAGCTCAGCTGCACACACTTAAATGATCATGGCCAAAAGAAGAAACGTTTTCCATTTGGTCAGCCGTGGTTTCCAGCTCACTTAACAAAGGATGTTGTTAAACACACACACACGCACTGCACAGCTACAACATCTCCCATCTTTCAGCTCCAAATGAAGGCATATCAGGCTTCTCCAACTTCACCCCACATGAAAGAACTATTAACCCTGCAGCCCGTGAAAGCGCCGACAAAGCTTGCCTCCCAACCTGCCGCTGCAGACAGAGCTCAGCTGAAACAACCATTTACTCATCCCTTTTCCAAACAGCCCCCAAGTCCCAGCTACAGCCACCCCAACGAGGCAAATATCTACAATTTAGGTGAAGATTTAGGTGAAGACTTAGTTTTTCAGACTGCAAACAGACTCTAAGCGCCCATTCGCTTCCCGATGAACTCAAGAGACAAAGGGAACGCTGGCAAGTTACACGCTACGGTGCTGGGTTTCTGCAGCCTTCAGTCCCTCGGGGAGGTTGGCTTGGGTTTTGGGGGGTTGCTTTATTTAAACAGATTGGTATTGGGTACGATTCTATGATGGCTCAAATTCTCACACGTTCAGTTCTCTTTTGTGGCAGTGTCCATTCTGTAGAGAACGACAGAATTTCCTCTCATATAATAAAAGAAATCCCATGACCTAATACATATAGCATTTTAATTGCACCTCTACATCTCAGAAAGCTTACAGTTTGGAAGCATTTTGTGGCAGTTTCTTCTACGGTTTTAATCCCCCAAAGCAAACCTCTCTTCATACTTCACTTCGCAAGCTTATACAGCTTATTCCATTAGAAGCAGATATTCCCAATCCACCCCACCACCAGGACAGGCTGGAGCTTGGGCTAGAAACACAACCTTGAGGGCAAATCCATTAAAGATCCCAGGCACAAAGAGAAATAAGGCTGCAATTGAACAGTAATCACAAAAGTCTTGCTAGCATCACTCAGAATCCCCTGCTGAATCACTGCAGGATTATTAATGGTTATTTAATGAGTATCTAGATGACTCTTGCAAAGACAATGCTATATTTGCTATACTTGCTATATATATACCTACTATACTTGACACAGAAGTATGTATTAAAAACAATTCTCTCCCTTTTTTCCCCAAGGGGGTGGCGAGAGGCAAAGCAGCTGCTGGGAACTACCCCAGTCATCAGAAGTATTAAATATTAGCCTAAAAGTGACACTCAAAATGCAGGTTTTGATGCCGAGTTAGTCCCATGTGTTTTCTGGATGGTGGGAAATATTCAGGCTAATATTCCTTTTGGGTGCAAAGGGGAATATTTTCCCTAATGTTTTCTTTTTCTGTATATAGGAGGAGATAGAAACCTCGTCTCCTCGGCAGATGGAAGCCACAGCACCGGCTCCAGCACAGGCAGAATCAGGCCCTCTGTGCCTATCTCCAAACTGAACCCATTTGGGACCTTCAAGCCCATTTTGGCCAAACACTGAATCTCCCCCTCTACACTCTGAAAACTTCCCTTGTCAGCAATATCTTGGTTAACAACCAGATCTTCCTGTATAAACCCATGCCAGCCATTAGGCAGAGGCGGCGAGGAATGGAGATCGGAAGAAAGCGATGTTGAAGGAGGATCACACCACTCAGGTCATTTGTTCCCATCAGGGCTCTTAATTCTGATCCAGCCTCCTAACCCCTTCCAGATCTTTAATCATTAGTATTTATATTGAGTTTGGAGGAAGACTTAAGCTTGGGCCGAGGGTTTGCTCAACTTGTCTAACTCTTAGGATACCCCAACAGCGAGTTCTTTATTAGCACAGTTCCACTAAGACCCCAAAAGTTCCTTTTTCTTTATATTCAGCCATAAAAAAACAACCCTAAGCTGAAATGCAGGCCTTGAATTTGAAGCACAACTTAACATAAATGCAAAATGAACTTTCCCAGGAAAGTGAAAGAGGAAAACTGGGATTTTATGGCCTTGAAATAGAGATTATTTTCCCCTTACAAATCTTATTTTCAGGAGTTAAGATTTTTGTTGAAGAGCGTATTTTGTACTGCAATTTCATCACTGGATTCTCTGAAGACATCAGGTGGCACCACTGGAAGTATGGGAAGGATATAAACCTGGAAAACTGCCTCCTTCACCAAAAAGAGGGGTTTGTTGCTGGTTTAAGATCTGGAGCGCATTAGAGATATTTTCACTTTCAGTACAGGTTTCCAAAGCTCACATTAGATCAATTTGGTTGTGATATTTAATAACCCTTATGATCGAGACCCAACTGCTCATTTTGGTGTGCTTTATCTGCACAGGACCCAGGTATCTGTGTGTGTTTAGTTGCGGTGCCTGCGCCTGCAACATCATGGTGAGTATTTTCACATCTTTACCACTAGAAATAACCTAACTTCTTTCAACGAAAGCAAGGATTTAGGGTATAAAAAGAGGGTTTAGGGTACAAAAACTGTCTCAAGAGCGATTTGCTCTCTTTTGTCTGATTTTACTATTCATTTCTTTGTCCGAGCGGCAGTGAAAAAGCAGCACAAGGTCACTGCCGCTTCCGAAGGGACCTGAGCTCCTCTCAACCCCCTCCCATTCGCACTGAATCTCTTGGTGAAGCCCACCACCGCATGCTGCAATGAGCCTGCAAGACTCCCTCTCCCCTAGAAAAGGAGGGCGAAGGGAGTAAACCCCACTGGGGAGCCCCTTTGGTGCGGAGGAGAGGATGGGTTTGGCTGGTGAATAGAGACCTCCGCACTCCGGACACAGGGCATCGGTCTTACCGGCGCAGGAGTGCAGCGGCTTGGGCCGGACGAGGAGGGACGGGCAGACGGAATAGAGGGAAAGTTTCTCGAAGTAATCGCAGGTCTCCTTGGAGAGGATCTCGTCGATCATGAAGGTCTTGTAGCGCCTCCTGCCTGCCCTATGCCGGCCGGGAGCGGCGAGCCGGGGCTGCGGCTGGCAGTGCATCGCGGGGCCGGCCCCGGAGCTGCGGGGCACTGCGGGACCCGCGGCCGCCCGTGCATCGGCCGCCTTCTTCTCCTCCTTCTTCTTCCTCCTCCTCCTCCTCCTCCTCGCTGGGCTCCGCTCCGCTCGGCTCCCCCGCTATATAAACCCTGCGATAAGCATCTCTCCGCGGCCCTTTTTAGGACGCCCCGGCTGTCAATCACGACGCCCCGAGTGTCAATCACGGCGCCCGCGGCTCCCCGGCCAGCACCATTGTTAACCCTGCGCCGGGCGGGGAGGATCCGCCGGGCCGCTCCCTCCCTGCGCTCTATTTTAAGACACCGGGGTGCGTGTGCGCGGTTCTCGCTCCCGTCTTTTTCTCCCTCTGGAAATGCTCCAGATTGGGGCTGGCTTTTCCCTTTTTTCCCCTCCTTTCTTCTCTCCCCACCCCCAGGCCTGTTCATTTCAGGGATTAAAAGTGCACATCCCGCATGAAATCCAGAGCGCCTCATCCCAGCTTCCCCCCCCTCCACCCCAATCGGCATCAAACCTATTCCCCAGTCACCGTGTGCTGCAGAAAGGCAGAGGAATAAATAAAACCCTATTTATAGGGGCCTTGCTGTAGCAAAGGCTGCTTTCTTCGGAACGGTGTCCCGGGATAAGATGTTTTCCTGGTGGATCGCTGCTCATCTCAACTGGATTTTTGCAGGGATGAGGGCTGAGGATGGACCCCACTCCACCGGGGCCGAGCCACAGGTGCCCTTTCCCTGCAGTTATCCCCCCCGATGCATCGAATTCGGAGTGGTTTAGGGCAGGAATCACAAGGACACACTATAGGGGGAAGGCCGATGGGGATGAACCGGAGCTGCGGGGTTTGCCACAAGATACAGCCAGCTTGCAGCGACTTGCGGCTGCAGGCGGGTGCATAGAGGCTCATTACAGAGCTGTGCCACCACTCAAACCAACCGTTTGCAGCCTTCCCACAAGGATTTCAGTGCAAAATGCTACCAGCAACCCTTTAGTTTTCACACTTTAGTGATCCCGATGGCAGCAAACTTATCTTCCTATTAGAAAACCCTGCTTATATCGAAGGAAGCGACCATCTGAAGCACATAAAAGATTTACTTTCGTTTTGTTGATCAGTATTTTCTAAAAAACCCTTGAAAAAATGCATAACCTACACCTGTAATCTCCTGTTTTAAAATTTTACTATTTCTTTTTCAATTGCAAGAACCCGTTGGCTTGAAATTCAGAGATTTATTTGCTGATTTGGTCAAATTTAAGCCTGAAAACCCAGACGGCACACACACAGTGGCCACACGCTCTCACAACCGGAATGCACACGCAAAGAAATACACTTCCCTTTGATCTTATTTCCTTAAAACCTTGTTATATGGCTTTAAAACACATTAGACATTAAACCAAAGCTAAACCAAAGTGTTTTGTTCCTTTAAACCATTGGAAGGGCATTCCCGTTTAAAATAAATGGCTTGGAAATGGGTTTGTCTTTTCCTATCGAGAAAGTGATCGGACAAAGAGGAATTAAACCCAAATGAGAAGAACAATGAAGGCGCTCAGAGACTTTTCCCCCCGATGTGATAGAACCCTTTTAAACTGAAGTGTTGCTTTAATTCCTAAACAGCCATTTAACTGACTTCATTATGAACGCGGCTTTATGAATACTCAACTCAGACACGACACATTCTAGGAGCCCACCTTCTTTGCCTCTTTTCCCAAGATGTGGTTCCTTTAAGGAGCTAAAATAATTCCTAACACCATTAACTCCAGCAATTAGCCCTTGAAGATCATCATCCCAAAGCAGCTTTCTGAAGCACAGCACTGGTTTATATCCCAACGCAGCAGCAAGAGGCATTTTGCTCCACCGTGGTTCCTCAGTGCCTGGGGAGCTGCAGTTCCTCTCCCCCCATGCCAGATTCATCCTGTATTCACTGATCAGACTCAGCAGAGGAACGTTTCCTATATGGAGAGTGCTGGAAATCAATGAGCCCGATAAGATCCAGCCCTGAAATCAAGAGGGGAAGAAAAGCATCGGCTCGCCTACAGCTGAGCCCAAAAGAGAAACCTCTGTTTGGCTTTAAACATTCCTTTGCCACGTCTGAAGGACTGGATATGCAGAGATGTGGGGCTGGCACCCTCTGCTCGTGCTCTAGAAACACCAATGCCCTCACCAGACCCCATCCACAAACCATGAGGTGGGATGAACACCCCCGGACCCCAATGGTGAATTATGGGGTGGGATGAGCACCCCGTGACATGGCTCTAGAAACTCGATTTCTTGTATTTAACTAAAACTAGAGAAGTCAAACTGTGAGCTGAGCAATCCAGTGTTGTATGCAACACACGCTGGCTGTCAATCAAAAGAGGGGGGCTTTGGTCAGGAATAATCAGGGGTTTTGTTTCCGAAGTTAATGAAGTGGCTGGAATAGCAAACATCTGCCAAGGGGACTCAAACCCTGAGCAGCTGCTGGAGCCCCCGTGTAGGACTTCTCCCTAAGGTTTCTCCTGCGGTTGGGAACCGGGGCCGGACAGGAGGGTGGGAAGCAAAAGGCATGTTTGGAAAGGTCTGGAGGGCAGAAGACGTGACGCAGATCGCATGCGTGAGCGCAGCACCCGCACTGCACCAACAACAGCAATTGCTCCACAAGAACTTCTCCAAAGGGGAATCAAGCCAAGGACACGATCCGACAATCCCAGTTCTTGTGTGGGTAAAAGCATGGGCAGAATTGAGGAGGAAAACACCAACAGGAAACCTATGAGCTGGTCAGTCAGCAGCGGGTTGCTCATGATGAAGAGGGAGCTCAACCCTCCACTAGAGCACTGAAAGGAGATCCTCCAGGAGGGAAACTATGGTCCATTGGGAAAGAGATCAGCAGGAGACTTGAACTAGGGTTTGGGGAGACAATTAGCTTTAATTCAGAGAGGATCTGTGCTACCCGGCACTTCTTGTGCTGTAATGGAGCCCTACTGGTGCTGAGCACCTCTCCTTCAAGTAGACTTGTTTAGTCCCACCACAGTCATTAGCATAAGATGGTGATTAAGGCCAGAGCAATTAAGCTGCTGTTGCATGACTACAGTTGTTATTTAGGTAGAACCTAAGTACCTGGCTCTGCTCAGGGAGGAGCTGCTGGTTGTGATTACTTGCTCCTGTATTAGGGCATTGCCTGGCACACTGGCATCCTGTGCCTAAGGAGAGCTCTGCCCAGTGGGTTTGCAGCTTACTAATTCCACATCCAAACACTAAAATGCAAAAGAATGAGGTTTTCCTGCCTGTTCTGTAATCAAAGAGTGCCACAGCCTTAAAGTGCATCGGTTCTGGTTCTAAATTCCTTTTGCAAGCCCCTGCCATTACAATGCTTAATCACTAGAAAAGCCCCTTTTCCAATGAAATCCAACCACCTTTGCAAACAGACCCATAGATCCTGCTAAACAGCAACACTCTGATCCTAAGTGTACCCCTTTTTGGGCAGGATCTCATGCTTGATACCTGATCCGGAATAGAAATGCCCAATGTATGGCTACACATCGGGAGCCACAGTGTGGGCCAGTGTTTCACAGAGGCTTTGTCCTCTCAGCATGACAGGTCTCAGTGCATCAAAGTCCCTCTGAGTGAAAGAGCTCCGCATCCATCTCACATAAGTACAGATGTTCCTAGTATCTTCTTGATGCCACAGAAAATGGGTTTGGGTTGGTTTTAAAAACCAGGAAAGGTGTAAAATCTCCCCCCACATAAGCCCCTAACAGAAATGCTCTTTGAGGCAGACAAACACCCCTGCATCATAGAATGGTTTGGGTTGGAAGGGGCCTTCAAAGCAGCTCTAGTCCAACCCCCTGCAATGAGCAGGGACATGTTCAAATAGACCAGGTTGCTCAGACCCACATCCAGACTGGCCTTAAACGTTGCATCCACCACCTCTCCATCATTATACTGAAATTCATCCTCACATCCAGCCTGAATCTCCCTCTTTTAGTCCAAAACCAACACTCCTTGTCCCCTCAGGACCTTTACGGATGGGAAGATGATGCCACTGGCACCAAAGTGTGGGATGCAACAGGAATGGCAGAGCAGAGAGGGAAGTGCTTGTGCTCAAACACCCCACCAGCTTCAGGGAGGCTGCCACTATTCCCCCTATGCCACTATGATGCTGCACATTGTGTGGTCCAAGCCCACCCTGGCTTTGTCCCTCAATGGGCAGAGCTGGGCTTAATGGCAGCCACAGCACTAAATGGCCCTTGGCATGGTCAGAAGAAACAAAGGCTTCAGTTACTTCAATAAAACTATACTGAAAGCTGAACTATCAATTGGGACACCTTTGTTTCAGTCCTTGCTCTGCCACAAGCCCCAAACGGGGCCTTCTTTGCTTAGAGCCAACTTTGAATAATCCCAAAGTAGGGTATAATGGTATTTATCATGTCTACAAAGCCATCAGCTAGTCCCCAAAAGCAGAGCATCTGAACTAAAGTACTAGCAGAGCTCATCCATGCTGATAGCAGGCTCCAAATGCCAGAAAGCTCATCACAGAGATAGTAAAGTCCTTCAGAAAGATAAAGATAAGGTTTCAGATACACATGAAGAGAAACGGAGGCAGAGGCTCCCCCTCTGTTAACCCTCAGGATAGAGGGCAGATGTCCCTCAGCACCATGCACCCTGCATGATCTGAATCCCAGTAACCTCCTCATTTCCCCTCTCCCCCAGCAGCACTGGGGGATGCAAAAGCATCTTGGTGTTTTCCCAGTTACCCCTTTGCAGGGCACACAGCACCTCAACACCTTCTTTCCTAGGCTCTGTTGCTACCAAAACCAACCCAGATGCATCATTGGCAGTGTTGGTTGGGGTGGTTTGCATCAGCATTGCCTCACCACTATGGAGAGCACCAAAGAACACACCAACCCAGATGGAATAAATCATTATGCATTCTGAGACAGGCTCACCAGCAGAACTGAAGGCCTTCAGAGTGATATTTATGGGGTGGCTCTGATTTTCTGGGTGGTGGAAAGATACCACGTACACCTGAGCTGATGCCAAGGAACATATGGCATCTCTCAGCAAGTGGGGATCTGTTTCTTCATGCTCTAGCTCAAAGGCTAGAATGTGGACT